TGCTACCTTCCCTAACTACACTGAAGGAAAAAAGTGGCCCTGCTATTAAAAAATGCAGCATACCCCTCATTTATTGTTGTACTATTCTTACAGTTATTTCCCCTCAAAGGTGACTAACAGCTTAATACTCTGTCTCTTTCCATTTCCCATCTGTGCTGATTCTTTCTCAGTCCACTGCTCCATTTATCGCCCCTACTCCATAACTGTTGATTTGGAATAATCATATATACACCCGCAAAAAAAATCAACCTAATTTAGTTAATGTTTTGTTTAAGGTTTCATATTAAAGAATGCAATCTTCACATCACACATATCACCATGCACGACTGGTACTCCTTCTGCCCTTGTCTTTTTGCCCTGCAGAATTCCCATTAGGAAACAGAATGTGTTGGAGAATCTAACATTATTTTTTATGTCTTTTTTATTATTATTATTTATATTGTCTAAGCTGCCGTGGCAGGTCTGTGTTTGTCTGGATAAAGTATTCATTGAGTCTCTTGTATCCTTTTCCTGGAAGAACTGACTTCACAGAAGGCCTAAGCTTTTCAATGTCAGTGTGTTGTTAATATCTCTTCAGTAAACTCTTAAGTGAATCTGACAGTTGATAGTGATTATTAACCTTGCACTGAACCAGTAATTAATCCATTCAGGCTGTACAGGAGGAGAAAAAAAGCTAAAGCAAACTTGAGTGCTCTGGCTCAGTGATTCTGCTGAATCCAAGTGCCTTATTCTGATATTGTTTCACCTCATTAGCATTCACTATGTAATCTAGAGATTTAATTCATTACATACATCATTTCCCTATAGCTCATATACCTCTTTGCAATTCCCAAAACACATTTTTTCCTATACACATTTAATCTTGGCAGAAGAAAATAAGGTTAAGGGAACAAATGTTTGAGGAAGGGATGCTGCTTAGGGTGTACTAGGGACATACTGCACCTTTTGCAAACCTATTCAAAGAACTGGGTGTGAGTAAGGGCAAAAGTTGTCCTCCTATGTGTGTAAGAAAATAATTTATATTCCTTGTAGAACCATAAGGCTGATTATTATAGTGCCAGATATTTGTTTTCACAAACATTCTAATCAGCTTATTGGGGAAAAGGGGAATGCAATTTACCCTCTGAAGATTAAATTTGATCTCTTGAAATCACTTTTGAATTGTTTGGCTTCAGAGCCACTCAGTTTGAGATGGTTATCCAGCCACAGGATGGCACATAAAGATCTCAACTCTGGATAGCCACAGTGAAAGCAAGTTCATATAAAGAAAACCTAACATGCACTATGTCCTTGCTAGGCTTTGTCCCATGTTTACTACCAAGTTATGCTATTATACCTAAATGACACCACAGAACTCTCTTTGCAGCAAAAAGTTTATTTTACAACACTGCATATCCCTTTTGGCCCCTTGCCTCACCTGTGGTTATAAAGCCTCATGAAAATCCTTCATTCTTTTAGGCTAAGCTGTATTTGCTTCATGCTAATTGCTGTGATGTTTTTGTGTCAGCATAGATGGCTGACAAACCTAACCAAATTTTCTCTGTCTGTTTGAAGAAGAAGGTGATAGCTTTGGCCATCTAATTACTTCTAATGTTCCCACTGCCTGTTGATAGGCTGCCATAATGTAATTATCTGATTTTTCCCTAGTTGGTATTATCCAGAAGTGGAAAGGCAGAAGCATCAAATAAGCCATTGTTGCTTCCATTCTGTTGTCTATTATTTTTCTTCTTTAACAAGCTATTGTCTAAAGCTTTTGTGACAAACAACACCATGCTGTCCAGGTAAATTTCCAAAGTTTTGAAACCTTGACTAGACTTTTCAGTCAGCAGGTTCTAGGGAACAACACTTTAACAGATTGTTCTTGACTATTCATTATCTGAAGGATTTTCTAATAATCATTTTTCATAGTAACATTTTACCCAATTTTTTTTAAAAAATACAGATAACTGGGTGAGTATAAAAGTAATCTGAGTCCATCAAAATTAGAGATGATTTCAAAATGACTTCTAATAGGTCTAGTTGTCATATGGCATTTGATCTGGGGTCAATAAAATGACTTCCATTGATTTCAATGAGCTTTGGATGAGGCACATGGCTCCAACAAATATTATGTAGACTACACTGTACAGAGAGACACAAATAAACCAGTCTAGTATACTGGTGTTGGTTTCTGTTTTAAAAAACATATATGAAAAGAAATAAAATAGCCTCCTTCAGGGACTAAGAACACTGCTGGATAATATGAACTGGCAAGTAGAAACACAAAAGTCGTCTGGGCTGAATGTATTAGATGTCAAAAAGCTATAATTAATTTTAGTGGTTGTTTAACAAAATGTGCTCTCTGTGTGCTGTACTCATTTCTCTTTTCCTTTATTCCTTTCTGTAATTGCTTGCATATTTATAGTCTTTTTGATCTCATAGGTATGGTCTTTTTTGCTAAGTGCTTTTTTGCAATATATATTTTTAATTTTTCTATACTACTTTTGATAAAATATAATTACCAGAATCCATGGTGGTGTGATGTTCTGTTGCCATCTTTTAAATTTTATTTTCTTCACCTTGAAGTTCTTTTCATTTTTTTTAATGTACCTGAACTCTGGGAGTGTATTCAAGGGACAGCAATTTAAAAGGAGTTGTACTCCTTATTGGTTCCCCAAGTTTGAGCTTCTCCTATCATCTGTATAGAGGAGATAGACTCTATTTCAGAGACTGAAGAATTAATCTCTGATAAGGTCAGTGCATCCTTCCTTAACTGGTATTTGTGTGTGTATCATTGATGCACTAAAGCAGTGAGGTCCCAAAATGATCCTGCATATCCATTCAAAGGCCTGCTTGTTTACTGTCTTGAATCTTGTATATCACATTACACCTGCACAAGTTGCAAATGGAACCAATTCTGCCCCAGGCTCTCTATCTGAACCACAGTTAAAGGGATGGGATTACACACTGGCATTCAAAGCAACAATTTGGCATTGCCATGTTATGGGTCTATTACTGCAAAGTGTTAAGCACCTCTTAAAGGTGAGAGAAGCCAGGATTCACAAGGAATAAACTGTTTCCTGTATTGTGGATCAGAAACAGTTAGCAAATATTCTGCATATGAATCGTGAATAAGCCTTTCCATTTTGAACAAGACTGAAGCAATGCTAGATGGAAGGGAGAAACGTTTTGAAAAATGCTCCACTCCTCTAACCTTTGCTGAAGTCATTCATCTCGTACGTCAAAGTGGTAAAGAGATTCAGAATGCTCTTCCACTCATTTCTTAGTCTAGAGATGATCAGGTAGCACTGGAAGCAACCTTCCACCTCCAGGTTGCAAGAAAACTTTACTCTTCCTCCCACATGAGACTCTGGCCACCATGATCCATGCGTTAGGCATATGCAACATAGATAAATGCAATTCAGTGTATCTGACATGGAAAGTAAGTACAATGCAAAGATTTCTTTTTGTGCTGAGCACATTAAGTGTGATCTCCAATTTCCCCATTAGCATCCAGTTAGCTTTGGTTGCATTTCGGTGACTTTGCCCTGAACTTCTAAGTCCTTACATAGATACAGACTCCTATTTACATTAGCAAGTGAACCTCAGGTTATAGTTGGTGAGAGAGCTACATTTTGGGATACTGAAAATCATAAATCCAGAGTGAAACATTTAGAAACAGGAAATAAGACATTTTTGGTCCCTGGCATCTGAGAGGGGAAGGAACAAAATCTGACGACCTCTCTTAGGGTGTGTCTAGACTACCTAGTTTTGACGACAAAAGTGGACTTTTGTCGACAAAACAATACCAGCGTCTACACTACCGCGGAGTTCTGTCGACATAACGTCGACAGAACTCCGCGGTTTTGTCGACGCTGGTATACCTCATTTTACGAGGCATAACACTTTCTGTTGACAGAATTCTGTCGACAGAAGGTGTTATTGCCTGTAACACTGCGTCCAGACTACGGAGTTCTGTCGACAAAGCGGCTTGCTTTGTCGACAGAACTCCATGTGTCTGGACGCAAATTGTCGACGGAAGTTTTGTCGACAGTATCTGTCAACAAAACTTCCGTCGACAAAACGCGGTAGTCTAGACGTACCCTTACTGTGAGACCTAAATCTTTCCCCCATAATTTTAAAGCCATTGAAAACATTAACCTTTCTCTTTCCCAATCAGCAAAGAAACAAACAGAAAAACAAACAAACAAACCCTACTCCAGTTAAAGGTTCCCACAATCCAGTAGAAATATTGCTACACAAATTAACCTGGAAGGCAGGCAGATACTCTGGAGATGGGCATCAATATGAATGCCTAACGCAGTAATTTTACATTTCAACCACTTGCAAATTGTTTCCAAACACTTGACTCTTCCTTTGCTTTTGATTTCTACTCACTGAAGCTGCAATTTACAAAACAAAGAAAAGCCAAATTTCTTTATAAAGACTGCTTAAAAATAAACACATAATGAACTGAATAGAAATATCTATCATTGCTCATTTATGTATAATTGGTAGAATTCACTCAGCTGAAACAACATATGAGCTTTGATGTCACCTATAAATATGAGAAAATAACACCCTATTTCAGATCTGTCCATTTCAGCTTAATGCCTTTTTGCTGTATAAAAGTATGTGTTTTTGTCCATAATGAATAAAAAGCTCCTTCTGGGTTTGAGAGTTATTCTCCTGTTTATGCTCTTTTTTCCCTGATACTTGTAAAACAATTTTTCTAGTTGTGACAGTCACAGTGCACAAATATGCACAATTAATATGCCTTTTCATTAAAAAATAGTAGGCGAGGTTCCATACAGTTTATAAGCTGAGCTGTTGTTTGTGGCAAAAGGTGATTTAATCAGCTTCTTTAAAAAAATTGCACCACGGCTTAAAAAGAGCAACTCTTTAAGATCTAACTTCCAGTATAGCAACTTAGATAAAACTTGTGATGTTATCTGTAATAGTGCAATATGATTCCTCCCAACACAGAACAGAACACCAAAAATTCCGTTTCATGGCCTTACCTCACTGTGTGGGAAGGTGCTGGGAAGCACATAGGGTAGAGGCCTATCTTCCCCCTTCTAGCCTCCAAAGCTCTTTTCCAAATTACAAGATCTATGTAAGGAGATGAGACATAGTATACAAAATGCTATGGGCCAAAAAAGAAGCATATCACATGAAGTAATATATAAAGTTCTATAAAATGTAAATCTTCTTAAACTGGGGCTATGTCTACACTGTACTGTTTTTGCGCAAGAAATATGCAAATGTGGCTAAGCATGGAATATTGCCGAGCCTCATTTGCACGATTAATGAGCAGCCACTTTTTGCACAAGAGGCTTTTGCGGAAAAGAATCCATCTATACGGCTCCTTCTTGTGCAAAAACCCCCTCTTGTGCAAGAGCCGTTTTTCTGTTTTTTTTCCTGAAAAACAGCTTTTGCACAAGATGGGGTTTTTGCACAAAAAGGAGCAGTGTAGATAGTTACTCCTCGTTTAACGGAATAGGAAGCCTACTCCGAACTACCTAGTCCGTGCCGCGTGTAGCATGGCACGGAGTCCGAACTAGCGGACATTTAAAAATGGCGGCGCCCGGCAAGATGCAAATGAATCCCGGGAAATTCAAATCCCGGGCTTCATTTGCAACTCCAGTTGACTACATTACCACCCTAGTTCAAACTAGGGTGGTAGTGTAGACATACCCTCACTCTATAAGGTATGTCTACACTAGCTCGTTAATTGGAGCTAGGTAGGCAAATCAGGCAACCGGAGTTGCAAATGAAGCCCGGGATTTAAATATCCTGGGCTTTATTTGCATGTTCCCATCCGGCCGCCATTTTTAAATCCCCAGTAGTCCAAACTAACTGCCCGCAGCTACACGCGGCAGTTTAAATTTAATTCAAACTAAGTCCTTAGTTCAGATTAACTGTTATTCCTCATTCCACAAGTAATGTAGCTGTGGGCAGTTAGTTCAGACTAAGGGGGATTTAAAAATGGTGGCCGGATGGGAACATGCAAATAAAGCCCAGGATATTTAAATCCCGGGCTTCATTTGCAACTCCAGTTGACTACATTACCACCCTAGTTCAAACTAGGGTGGTAGTGTAGACATACCCTAAGGGCGTGTCTTGACTACTTGGCTCCATCAACGGAGCCATGTAGATGAGGCAGGACGACAAAGGGAAATGAAACGGCGAGTCTAGACGGGGATCTTCCGACCCCAGAACCCTTTGTCAGCAGATCCTTTATGCCTCGTAAAATGAGGCTTACAGGATCTGCCGACACAGGGTTCTGGGGTCGGCAGACCCCGTCTAGACTCGCCGTTTCATTTCCCTTTGTCAAGTAAACTAATGTACATGACTCTGTCGACAGAGCCATGTAGTCTAGATGTAACCTAAGGTGTCACAGGACTCCTTGTCGCTTTTGCAGATCCAGACTAACACAGCTTCCCCTCTGATACAATCTATTCACTATCAGAGGGGTAGCCGTGTTAGTCTGAATCTGTGGCACCTTATAGACTAACCGAGGTGTTGGAGCATGCATCTGACGAAGTGAGTCTTTGCCCATGAAAGCTTATGCTCCAACATCTTGGTGAATCTATTCACTGTCTTTTTTCTCCTTTTTTTCTCCTCCCCACTTCCCCCCGTTTCCTTATTTATTCTTGGATCTGGACTTTTAATACTCCAGTCATCTGAAGAAGTGGGTTGTGTCCACAAAATCTCATGATACCATCTACATGTTTTGTTAGTCTTTAAGGTGCTACTAGACTATTCGTTGTTTTTTAAGTTTTTTTAAGCAGTGACCGAACATCTCAAAAGACGAGGGCGTAGCAGTTCAGTTACTTTACATTGTGCTGCAGCATCATGAGTGCATATAAAGTCCAATTCACAAGTGATAGTTCTTGTCACAGATAGTGCAGGGGGAGAGAACAGGGTCAGATGTCACCAGCATATTTAGTAGCACTGCTTAAGCTACACTTATAATTAAGAAATAGAAATCATATACCTGTAGTGTTGAAAATGCAGAATGGAAATCTTTAGCTGGGAAAGGTTTGCAATAGGCAATTTTTAAACCAACCTGTGCTTCACCTTCACTTCAGCCATTTCAAATTGCTTGTCTGTACAACAAATCTAACTAACTCAAAAGCTTCTGTCCTCCTCTTATCTATTATATTGCTACACATCATCCAGTTTCTAGGTAGTTTAACTGTTTTTTCACAGTATGTAAACCATTTAACTTCTCCAGCAAAGTGGAGAAATTAAACTCATGATAGACCCAATGGCACAGATGACAAACACCTGCCCTCACAAAAGCAGGGAATTGCTGAATTTATATTTTCTTCAAGGAAGGTAACATTCTCTCTCTCACAGAGTTATATACACTGGTAGGGGGAAATGGTGACTGAGAGATTTTACTTGTGCTAGTCAAACCATTTTCTACAAGTCCTAGGCCTCGATCTGTTCTGAATTCTAACACCGAGTAGTCCTATTGACTACTGTGTAAGCCCATAGCTTTGATCCAGCCCGCGAGGCAGTTCCAGGCCCTACCCCCTAGTTTATTGCCTGGGAGCCAGAGACACGTGAGCCCTTTTATCTGCTTCTATTTAAAGGGCTCTCACTTCCCCGTGTCTGTCAGGCAACACATTGCCTGGAAGCTGCAGGGAAGGCACAAACCCTTTAAATAGAAGCATTTGCAAGGGCTCGCGTGTTCTGGCTCCCAGGCAACATGCTAACAGTGAGGCTGGGAGCAGCAAGCCCTTTAAATAGCAGGAATTTAAAGGGCTCGCAGCTCCCGTCCCCTACTAACGTGATTCCTGCGAGCCCTTTCAATTCCTGCTATTTAAAGGCCTGCCCCTTCTGCATGAGGCTCTGCCCCACCTATCTTAGGCCCTACCCCTTCCGGGGTGGCCTGTGACCACTTAAAAAATGTTTCAAGTGGCCCTCGTTCAGAAATTGCCCTTGTGTGAGGGCAAGCTGGGAGACAGGTGAGCTGAATTGCAGCCAATTGGGACAGGTCAGGGAATAAAGTACTGATCAATGTGAATAAGGGAGCAGAGTCTTACCCAATATTTATTAAGAATTTAGTCCCATTTTCATTAGCAAAGTGTATTTGAACCAATTATTATACTCTGGGATTCAGTCCATGATTTTTCCAAATTTCATGATTAGATGTAAGTGTAATAATTTATTATGTTCACAAATCATTTGCTAGACTTGTCACTTATTCCCTATGTCAGGTAGTGAAGCCCTTTCTCACATTGGTGTGAGTCTAAGTCCAGTGAGCTAAATCCTATCAAGGACACACTATTACCTCATCAACCAAGTGAAGTTTGTTCTAAAGTTTTAATGCAGTTCTGTAGTGAGCAGCTAGACAGTACTTCACCTTCTCTGGGCCCTAGCAGGGAGCTGGCAGACTGCGCCTGGGGAGTGATGGAGGGCTGGCTGCCAGTGGCTTGCTGGCTGTGACTGCTGGCTCTGGGCTGGCAGGCTTGGAGCTGGCACAGGCACTGTAGCCAGAGTCAACCCCTTTAAGGGCTCCAGGGAGGAGGGAGGGAGAGGAGTATTCTTGGTTGAGGCTGGAGTGACCACCAGGGCACCCTGGGAAGGCTGGGCCCCCCTACTTCGATATAAGTGTCTACACAGCACTTATTTCGAAAGAGCTATTTTGAATTTGGCATTAATCCTCGTGGAATGAGGTTTACCAAATTCGAAATAAGCACTCCGCTATTTCAATTTAATTTCGAAATAGTGGTTTGGCTGTGTAGACGCTAGTAACGTTATTTTGAAATAATGGCTGTTATTTCAAAATAACTTTGCTGTGTAGACATACCCTAGATCTGCTGGCAATGCTCCCCCTAATGCACCCTAATATTCCCTTAGCCTTCTTAGCTACAAGGGCACACTGTTGACTCATATCCAGCTTCCCATCCACTGTAATCCGCAGGTCTTTTTCTGCTGAATTGCTACTTAGCCAATCAGTCCCCAGCATGAAACAATGCTTGGGATTCAGGCAGTACTCCATACACATGAACTGGATGTTAATCATAAGACCCACTGCTTGTGGGAGGCCTGCTGACACCATCCCAGCAGATTCTGTTTGTTATAGGACAAGGAGAATACTGTGAGCCTGGTCTACTAGCTGCTTCCCAGTTGTGGTAAGCCCAGCAAGGGTCCATCCCTGGTGCTGTTACCCCCTCCTTTCCATGGAAATGGGGGGAAATCACCTCTTCTGCTGCTCTCAGATGGAAGGGAGTACCCAGTGCTGCACACGATGCTGCTCCCAGGCTAGAGAACAGAAAAAAAGAGGGTCACTCCTAGGCTGTGTCCAGACTCAGGGGTTTTTTCGGGAAAAGTAGCCTTTTTCCGAAAAAACTTCACCTGCGTCTAGACTGCAGCCGCGTTCTTTCGAAATTAAATCGAAAGAACGTGGCTTTTCTTTCGACGGCGGTAAACCTCATTTCACGAGGAAGAAGTGCTTCTTTCGAAAGAAGGCGTTCTTGAATGTAAATAGGGCTTCTTCGAAAGAGAGTATCCAGACTCACTGGGTGCTTTCTTTCGAAAAAGCGGCTTGCTCTTTCGAAAGTTCCGCGTGCAGTCTAGACGCTCTCTTTCGAAAGAGGCTTGCAGTCTAGACATAGCCCCAGTGATAATAGGGCTATAGAGCAGGGCCATGTCTAGAGTTGTAGCCTGATCCAAAGATTTCTGTTTATCACTTTTAGTGTTTGACAGGTTCTTGTCCCAAGATCAAGCTCAATTAAATTAATTCAATTATTCAATGGTTGGGAACCCTGATATGCACACGTACAAAACCCACATGATAGGAACTCTTTAATATTTGCAAATTAATAATTTATTTGCATATTTACTGAAGTTTATACACACTAACTCTGCAAGGTAGATAGAGATAATATAGAAAGGACATTTGGACATCCGTACTCACATCAGCCCTTGCAGAGCAAGTTGGACATTAGACATTTTCTGCCTCGTTACCATCAGTTTGGTCCCTCCACAGGTCCACATCTGTCCTTCACTGCTTTGGGATGCCATTGTGTTATGCTGATGTTACCATGTTTAATACGTGTTCAATAGAAGTTTTCAACTTATTCCTG